GAATAAGGGACATTTTTTTATACTGTTACTGCAGGCTCTGGTGTCCCCGTGCTATCCATGTATTGATTAGCCACTTATTAATTAAATATCAGTCATTACATACCCACTATTTCCACACAGTGTTGGTCACCAGGGGCAGGCAAAGCCTTTGCCCTCAGTCTCCCAAGCCTTTCTGCTTCACTGGCTCCATTTGTTCCGGGTCTTAGAATACAGTCTAGACTCCGTGATGGACATTCTCCAAGTTATGCTTCATGCCAAGCCCAGAACATAATGGGAGCCACTGAATTCCTAGGCGGAATGAGAATTCTGCACAGATATCCTTTCCTACCAGCACTGACTGTGACTGCCATGAAGGGTGCTGTTCTTTGCAGCCATGCTGACATGTGGCTCCCTTTGATCTCTCCAAGTCACATCTTTTGCCTTGCCTGTGAGGCACATGAGGGCTGTGGGCTGCTATCTGCTGTCCAGGATCTTCTCTTGGAGATGGAGCCTTTGCTATTGGGCTTGAAGTCTGCTGGCAAGAGCTAAGAAGTCACCTTGCAGAGTGCATAAGGTCCAATACTGAGTGAGGGGTGGAGTGGGTGGGGAGGAGCTGCTCCTTCAGTGGAGAGCCTGCTTGCATTTCCTCCTTCACTGAGCACTGATTAAGCTCCTACTATGTATCAGAAACTCTGCTAAGCACAGCCTATGGAGAGTTAAATGAAGTACCTGCCTTTAAGCTATAAGTTCTTGGAGGAGATAAATAGAAGACTAAGAAAGAAAGAAAAAGAAAGAAAGAAAGAAAGAAAAAAGACAGAAAGAAAGAAAGAAAGAAAGAAAGAAAGAAAGAAAGAAAGAAAGAAAGAAAGAAAGAAAGAAAGAAAGAAAAAGGCAATGCAAAGAACAGTGAGGCATAAGGGAAAATGTCCAAGACAAGTTTTAGCTTATGACCAGAAAAGAGAAAAAAAGCCCACTGCAAGCAGTGGCCGACATCAATGGATGTCAGTGTGTCTGTTCTTTATGTTTTCTTCCAAAGGGGAAGTAGAAAAGAAGCTGGAGAAAAGGGCTGTTACCCAGTGGCTGGGACACTGCCTCCACCCTGCATGTCTTCCTGCTTGCTGTCCCCGCTCCACATATTCTGGTGCCTAGCCTTTCTCTCACTTAACCCCCAGAAGCTCCATACTTTTGCCTCCCCCCACCCATATCACAGTCTCGTGTCATACTCTTTATTCCTCCAGCTGAGTTCCCCATGAGGTCCAAGTCTGGAAGCCTAGGGAGGCACCCCTCTCCAGGTTGTGTGTATTTGAACAGTTTCCAACAATATAAGCCAAACCAGCTGCACACCTCTGCTCCAAATGGGTCTATTGACACCTTACAGTAGTCAGACTATTTGGCTGGGGGAGGAAGTGGGTCTGTGGCTGTTTTTTGAGCTTTCTTCATTTGCTTCAGGACCTATGAGTCGCCAGATTCCCACCTGTACTGGAGAGTTTTATGTTAACATGACACAGCTAAAATCATCTGAGTAAGGGAGCCTCAAAAAAAAAAAAAAATGCCTTCCTAAGATCAGGCTGTAGACAAGCCTGTAGGGCATTTTCTTAATTAGTGATTGATGGGGAGAGCACAGCCCATTGTGGGTTGTGCTGTCCCTGGGCTGGTGGTCCTGGGTGTTATAAGAAGGCAGGCTGAGCAAACCATGGAGAGCAAGCTAGTAAGCAGCACTCCTCCATGGCCTCTGCATCAGCTCCTGCCTCCACGTTCCTGCTCTGTTTGAGTTCCAATCCTGACTTCCTTCCATGATGGACTATGACATGAAAGTGTAAGCCAAAGAAACCCTGTCCTCCCCCACTTGCTTTTGCTCCGAGTGTTTTGTCACAGCAATAGAAACCCCAACTAAGACACCACCTTTTGATTCGAGTGTTATCTAGTATTTGGGGCCTTGCATAGCACCAGTCTTCGAGACCACATGACTTTTCAGCCATCCAGACACTTAACCAGTCACAGCCAATTTTACTTATCAGCCTCTGAGGTCAAGAACTGTTCCTCTGTCATGTAGTGAAGTGGCCACACCTTTTCCAGGCTAGTCTTACGTCCCTCACACACCCCAAACTATCTGATCCGAACAGTGAAGCTTAAAGACCCTAGCAAGGAGCTGTAGGTGGAGACTGCCTGGCTGAGGAGATGCAGGTGTGGAAGTGAGAGTGGTTAGTGGGACCAGCACTCCACGTGGGCACGGGTGGGGAGAATGTCCTGAGACAAGTGTAGCTGCTGAGCTGTGTCATCAGCACGGCTTGAGGGCTTCCATTCTTTCTGTTCTTGGTTTTCCTTCCCAGCCTTCCAGTGGAAGAATACACACTCCCCCTAAACAATCACAGACCCAGTGGATCCATGAGAGGCAGAGATTCACAAAGCTTGAATGAGAGAGAAAGTGATCTTTCCCATTCTTGGGTCCATGGAGGTGTGAGAAAGTTTCAGAGCTTTTACAAGGCACTTCTAACCATGGGCAATAGCCAGGTGAGCCCAGTGCTTTTGTGAACAACTTTATTAATAGTTGTTAATAGCATTGACGTGTATGCGCGCGCGCGCGCGTGTGTGTGTGTGTGTGTGTGTGTGTGTGTGTGTGTGTGTGTGTGTGTGAGAGAGTGTGAGACACGGAAGAGACAATGAATGTGTCACTCAGCTCAGAGATACCAGCCCTTCCTCAACTTGTGGTGGTCAGCAAGACCTGCGGTTTTTCATCAAGGCTCCTCACAATGTTCCTGTGAGTGCCGTTCCCAAGAGATGCTCTGAACAAAGGACTGCCTGGTGAAGCAAGTTTGGAGTGTGCTGTGTCCTGCTCCGCACCCCACTGTGCACGCAGTCACACACCGTGTACGGTCACATCAAAGGCTCCAAGCAGTCCTGCTGGGAAGGAACCTACTTAACTTTACTTAACCCAGGCTTCCCTCGTTTATTTGATTGCAAGTTTCTGTAGCACTAGTATTTTGTGACCTACATTGTAGAAACAGCACCCCAGATGCCCTCAGCTTCTGTAGCCATTCATCAATGCTGTGTTGGCATGCTGTCAGTTTCCTTTCTGGACCGATTTCCTAGGCAAGGTCAGAAATTCCTCAACCACCGCTCTTGGCTTATGCCCACTGTCATCAGATTGGTCTGGGAATTCCAGGTATCCGCACCAGGCCCAGAACAGCTTGGCCTGCTCTGGAGTCTTGTGGGATACTGGGCCCTGGCCTAGTCTTTTGTCACTCTGCGTGCAAAGCTCCAGGTTAGAGCCACCTATACGACAGAAGTGTGTACTCCTGATCCTTGTGCTCTGGTGGCCTTGCCAGGGTTTACATGGGGTGAGGGCTTGTCCTAAGATAGTGGGTGTGCATGCTAGTGTGCCTGCAGCATGTTTGCCTCAGAGGTTGCCCTTGGCTTCCAGAGTTTGAAGCAGAAAGGATGCCTAGTAGTACTTACAGTCTTCCATACAGGAGCTCCCCTCCAGCCGTGAGGGCTTCAGGGAAGCATAGTGGAATCTGGGGCGGGAGTCCGTCCAATGAGGCACATCCATTTTCCAGATCAGGTTGCTGAGCATGAGGAAGCAGAGGATCTCTGGGCTGGGGGGTGCTATGTGAGAACTGGAGCTGTGTGGGAAGGAAGGGCTGCCAGCTGTGGGAGAATGCCTGTGACTCAGGGATACATGGAAATGGGGGGAGAGACGGTACTACCAAACGTGGTGGACTAGAAGATTCACCTTTCCTCTAGCTTCCTGTGCTAGAACACGACCAGAGCAACTGGTGGGCATACTTGGCCTCTGCCTGCACAATGCTCTGGTCTTTGCCCCTCCCCAGAGGTCATTGGATGCTCATTTGATGGGATGGGAAGAGAGGCATGGCAGTGGGGGCGGGGGGGGGGGACTTCTTTATAATCTGGGTGTCTTCTGTACTAGGCAAGAGGTGTTTAGGTCCCGTGTCCTACAGCTAGCCATGCTCTGTGGGGTGACAGGAAAACAGCCTCGGTCCTCCTGTCTTTGTCAAATGAACTATCCTTCCCCATCCGAGCTGTGGGATTTGCCAGAGAATAGGTTGAACTTCAAGGCTAGTGACCCATCTGGCTTATGTTTGTCAGAACAGTAATTGCAGAATGAGATCCCAACATGCAGGATGACGGGGCCTTGGGAGGGAGCTGGTGTTTCCCTTTTCTAGCCACGCCCCACCCCCTCTTCTGAGCTCACAGCCACGCCTTTCTGCAGGAGTCAGGGTGCCTGCTTGGAGTTATGTTTTTCAAAGAGGCACAGAGAACACCTCACCTGTCTACAGAAAAACAGCAGGGAGACGCTTGTATATTTACTCCATGGATTCACAGTTTGGGTTCCTAGAGGCTGAACTCTGCCATGGCAGATTCCAACCCACGTTTATGCCCTTCTGATACCTATAAATGTAGGTGCTTAGAAGAGAATAAGGTGAGACCAAGTGCTTCTCCTGGCCCCAGGATGTCAGATATTAAAACAGAAGGGGGCTCACCCGGGTGGGGGATGGTTTCCTTTCCATGGATTCTTCTTTCCCTCAGTTGATTAGAGGTTCCAGAGAGGGGTGACTCTAGATGTGATTCCGAGAGGGGACAGACAGCCACAGCTGGGTAATATTGAGGCTAAAGCTGGTTCTTCTGCCCAGGCACCTGAAGTGTGGAAAGAACAGGATCCTGTTCCGGGGTTCATCCCGCTGCTTCCTTCTTTCCCATTGATTTGAAGCCCTATTTCGTTCCTGGATTCATATTTTATTTCACCCATCATTTGAGGTATCTGACATATGACCAACTCTATTGTTTACCACCCTCTTCCTTTTCTTGGAGAAAATGCTTTGTTTTCACAGACCAGCCCTAAATGACAATGCCTCCTACCATGTGTTGCCCTGCCTGCCTTCTTGCAAGTATAAATCATTCAGACTGCAAAGGCCAGTGGGAAGGTGTGTTTATGTATATTGGCCATCTTGGAGGCTGTATCTTCTTTTTCATGAACTTGATCCTTAACTCCTCTTTTTCACGCCATTTGAGTACATGATCCTGGCCACCATCATTGCCAACTGCATCGTCTTGGCCCTGGAGCAGCACCTTCCTGAGGATGACAAGACCCCGATGTCCCGAAGGCTGGTATGTGCTGGCTTCCTTCTCCCTTTCTCCTCCTGGTCCCCTGGCTCCACCCCACACCCCTTTGCACACTTCCCTTCTCATACAGCTCTGTGAAGACTTGGTTCTTTACTGAGGGACACATAACAACCCCACTGGGACTCACGAGGAAGAGGGCATTGCAGACACTTGTGTGTCCTCACATGGTAGTCAGGCAAGAAGAAAGGGCAGGCACGAGCGCCGTTTGCTTCATTCCTCTTTCCTAGGGGACTGTTGAAGTGAGAAGGGAAAGGGGGGGCAGAGAGAAGGGAGGGGAGATGATGAGAGCTGAGTGTGTTGGTGGTTATGAACTTGCTAAATGCCGACATCCTTATTCTCCTAAAGGAATGAGTCACATGTCTAATGTATTCCTCCAGAAGAGAGCACACAATTATTTTAAGTCCAAACACATGGGAGAGTGGCCAGCCTAATGACCCAGGCATTCTCATGTTCCCATTCTCTGAAGTTCCCAGCTAGTGTAAAGACCCAAGAATGGAGAAATAAACTCCTTCTAGGTGACGCTGTGCCGATGGGGACCTTCAGGAGAAAACCGTCTAGTCCCTAGGTGGGACACATCTGCCCATTTCCACAGCACTTTCCCCTATTCTGTGTATTCCATGCAGCCTCTGGTCCTCTTGGACTGTCAGTAACCTAAGCTGGACCTGTACATAAGGCTGGCCATCATGGGTGTGCACGAGATAGCCAAGATGTGCCTTTGCCTCTGTCTGATAGGGAATAATCCTTTTATTGTTCCCCTGTTCTTCATCTTCACAGGAAAAGACAGAACCATATTTCATTGGGATCTTTTGCTTTGAAGCTGGGATCAAGATCGTGGCTCTAGGGTTCATCTTCCATAAGGGTTCATACCTCCGCAATGGCTGGAATGTCATGGACTTTATCGTGGTCCTCAGTGGGTGAGTCGTGTTTGTGTGTGTGTGTGTGTGTGTGTGTGTGTGTGTGTGTGTGTGTGTGTGTTGGGAGGCCCATGGGGACATGGGATAGTTGGTACAAAGAACACAGGGTGGGCAGAGATTAGAATGTAGAGCATAACCCAAAGAAAACAATCAAGGCTAAGAGTCTCCATGTAGTTATACCATAAAGAACCCATTTTTTGGAGGAGCTGGGTACATGTGGCATTAGGCAGAGGCATGGGACTCTCAGGAATGCTTTTGGCCTCTCATTGTGTGCTTGCTGGATTTCTGAACACTCAATTTTCCAATGAGGAGTCTTTTCACTGAAACAAGCAGCTTGTTCTGGTCTGGAGGTGGGGGTCAGCCCAAAAAATCAATCAAAGGGTACAGTGAAAATGCCCAGTTTCTTAGGGTGATTGGAGAAGACTCCAATCATGGTTTCTGAATTAAATTAAGATTAACACACTGAGAACAGACTTAAATGATTCATAGATTTACTAACGGCGTGAAATTAAATCACATCAAAATGTTTGCTTGATAAGTCATTCCTTAGAACTTAATATAGTATATATCGGGACTGACCCCACGTCATAGGCACATATAGGATGGTAATCCATTTAGGTGGATATTTGCAATATCAGTCCTTTGAGTATGAACACAGTGTGAATGGATCCAGCACTGTCCGCAACACATGTGATGGGCTTTAGTGTTGGGACTGATGAGAGTACCGCACAGGTTTCTGTGGCTTGTGAGTCTTTGAGTCCATTGACTTTCGGTGCTTGCAGGGAAAGGGGTAAACTTGTGTGGGTGTGGCATCAAGTGTTTGGCATGGGAATTTCCTTACTTTGCTGTCTGGCAAGTAGAGCTTCACAGGACACTGGAGAGAGGGAGTATGTAGCCACCATTATGAGGAACAAATGTGAGGAAAAAGGAAGTTTGTAGGGAGTAGTTGGGTAAGGGTAAAGACTGAGAAGGTGGCCAGGTGGTGGTGGCACACGCCTTTAATCCCAGCACTCGGGAGGCAGAGCCAGGCGGATCTCTGTGAGTTCAAGGCCAGCCTGGTCTACAGAGTGAGATCCAGGACAGGCACCGAAACTACACAGAGAAACCTTGTCTTGAAACAAAACAATAACAAAACAAAACAAAGACTGAGAAGGTGAGCTTGGGAGCCATGTATCTCCCCACTGTATTGATATAGACCCAGTGTTCACATTTTTAGCTTTCAGGCCAATTGTGATTGAATGAAAGAGAAGTAGGTGAAGATATAATGGATTAGAGTATAGTTTATAAGCAGGCAACTTCAGTATAGGTAATAGATAAACAGGACTGAATGGCCAGGTTTAAAAAGTATCTGCTGCCTTACAGAAGGATTTTCTGTAGGTCATTTTTCAAAAAAGATATTCTAATGGTACATTTTAAATGTAAATTTATATATATATAACTACAGAAGTATATTGCCAAAAAATGTAGCACACCTGAGTGATGCTTTCAATGTCTCTAAAATCAATAATATAAACTACATTAGAAAAGTCCTAGGTGAGAACTTGAATCATGTTATAATTCCATTTGGAATAAAAGTGTTGTTGTTGTTGGTGTTGGTGCTGGTGCTGGTAGTGATGTGTGTGTGTATGTGTATGTGTGTGTGTGTGTGTGTGTGTGTGTGTGTGTGTATGTTTGTAATTGGTTCTGCTCAATGCTATATGCACTGAAAACATTTGAAATTTCTGGTCTAAGCCACTCATTTTCATTTTAAACTGTCACATATTGATTTTTAAAAATATAGAAAAAACCTGTTCACTGATTAAGAGCAATTTCTGATTTTTATGCCATCTTCTCTCAGCCTTTTAAAGCTAAGATATCTTTCTTTCAGATGTCTGTAATTTTGCTGCCTTTCTCAGTATATGATGAGCATATCATGCATCATTCCATACTTTACTGAAATTTTGTGGTGACTGATCAGCACTTTGTTAAGTGGATGTACACAGCTTGCTCCTTGTTTCTGCTTGTTAGTTGACACTTAGATTGCTTTCTGGTTTTTGCTGTAATGATTATTAAAGATGCTCTAACATACATCATTGGGATGTCACACTTCCCTAGACATTTTGACAGGTTGAAGTGCAGTCAGTTCTCTGTATCTCTGGCTTCTGAGCAGATCCAGTGAAGCGTGGATAGAAAATATTTGGGTAAAATGCATCTGTACTGAGCACAAAACCACTTTTTATTCTTATCGCCATTCCCTAAACAGTATAGAATAACTAATATTTACATAGCATTTATGCTGCAGTGTCTTGTAGGTAATACAGAGATGATTTAAAGCAGCCAGGAGGGAGGATGTGCATATATTATATGCTCATAGCATGACATCCTCTATAATAGATGTGAGCATGTAAATTTTGATATCCACAAGAGTCTCAGAACCAGTCTCCTCCAGGCACCATAAGACAGCTGTACTTTTCAGGGGAATCTGGTGGTTCTGGTGTGGGATGTGGGGTGTGTGTGGAGGTGGAGGACCCCTCACCATTTGACCAGCTAAGGGAAGATTAATAGGAGCTTTAATAAGGGCTGTCACATGGTTGAAGGAGCAGATTTATGGGTCTCAGTAGGGTACTCTTGTTGTTACAGCCAAGAAGCTCTCTATTCCTCACCTGTGTGTCCAGGGAAGGCTAGAGCTTCACCAATTCATTGTCTTGTCTGAGCTGTCTGCCCAGCCTTCTTGGTGGCGCCTCAGACTCTGATGGTTCTCTGGGTGACCTGGAGAAGCTGATACTTTCTAGTTGAACCAATAAGACTTTGCTCCTGCTCCCATTCCAACAAGCAGAAGTTCTCAGTTTACATACAGATGGCTTCCAGGCAGTGAGTTCACTGTGCTCTTGACTGCTGAGGGATAGGGTTCTGACCCATGCCCGCAGTGCAACGGGTAATTGAACTGTCTTACATCTACATGTTCAGCTACCATCTTGCTTTGCTGCTAAGAGGCATACTATCTCTGAAGCCTGCTTAGGTCTTCTAATACTGGCATGGCAGAGCTTGATGGTGCTTTCTTCCCTCTTTCATAGTGGTGTATTAAACTACCAGGCATTTCACGGTGTTATGGGGTCTTAACGTTAGTTAAATATGTTGTGGTACTAACTAGTGAGGCAAGCAGAACAGACTTCAGAGGTGAGTTCTCAGTACCCAGGGAAGTTATGTCTTTTGCTCTCTGGTGGTGGATCCTGGAGTTTAGATCATGCCCTCTGATGCAGGACTAATATCTTTTAAGCCCATTCCATGCATCCACTCTCTTGGCCACACAACCTTCCTCTCCCCCCCCCCTTCTTGACACCTGCATCCAGAGTTATCCCTGGTGACAGCTCTTCCTTCCCACCTTGTCTTCAGGTGTCACCTCACATTCTACTCTTGGGCACGGGGTGGGGTGGGGGTGACAGTGTTAGAGCATGACATAGTGCTTCAGGGCTGAGGCTGCACAACATCTCAGCTCAAAGTTTTGGTGGTGGGTGGGGGGCGGGAGGGTGGGTGCTGTGACATCAGACAGCTGGCTTAGCATGAGACCTGTCATCATTAGCCTGTTGCTAAGAGACAGGCATTTGGGAGTACTGGAGTCACCACATTCTGTCTGCCACCCCTAGCCTTTAGTATTCTTAGACTTGTAAGACGAAGTTGTGCATGGTTTAGAGTCTGCTTATGTCAATGATTTCATGTAACCCTTACAAACCCATAAAAGGGCTTGTCTGAGTCCACTTTCTACTACGGAATGTCAGACATGGAGTGTTTTCTAAGCAACAGAGATTTAGATCTCATGATTCTGAGAAGCTCAAGAGCTACCACTGGGATCTAATGAAGCCTTTCTTGTCGTGTCCTCCCAAAGCCAAGGACATCATATGCTGAAGAAGAGAGGGAAACTAACCCAACTCTTCCTTTTACAAGACGTTTGCTCCTGCCATAACCAGCCCATTCCTGTTATAACTGTCTTAATATATGCTTTAGGGAGAGGTATCCATAAGACCCAACCACTTCAGAAAGGTACCACTCTTGATATGTTACAGTGCTGCTTGAATTTCAACAGGGGCATTTGCAGGGGGCATTTAGACTACAGCAGGGATCTTGTTGTCCTCATCTTCCAAATGATGACATCAAGGCTCAGAGAGGGAATGTGTCTAAGCAGCAGACACTCTATCTTGGACTTGAGCCCACACCTTCTGCCTCTAAGCCTTTTCTTCAACATTCTTTATTCTCATACCTTTGCTACCCTAAGGCTCTACAGTCATCCATCTCGGTGACTCATATTCCTTTGGTCCCCTAGAAACACTGGATGGAGTGCAGCAGGGAAGCACATCATCATATATGTGTTTCCAGTTCAAAGCTGGGGCTGCAAGTGTGGCTTAGAGAAGGCAAGCTTCCTGTGTCCTTCTGAGACTTCAGTCTGTGGGCTTGGAGTACAGCGCCCTGCTCTATGGCAAAGAAAGCATGTCAGCTCTTAGTGTAATGTCATTTGATGCAAGAAAAGTAGACCAAAAGGTCCAGCTGACTTCTTCCTTTGCTGGCTTGTTTAGTAACTCATTAGTTCATCCACTTGTTTATTTGGCAAGATGGATATTATTGATTGAGAAACACCCTAACCAATGTATTCTCATCTCTGCTTGAAATGAATGTCTATCTACCAGAACTTCAGCTCTCTCTTAAATCAGTAATAATTCAGGAGGTTCTATGTTTAAACTCTGGAATATTCTATACTACTTAAAATCACTAGTATATGCTAATCTTAATAGGAAGTTATTGAACCTAAATATACAGAGAATGATAGGGGATGATAAAAACTCAGTCACCCCTAAACCATTGGTGAGAGTGAGTAAATGGGGAGACATCTGTGATTATGATCTTTGTTCATCCCTGTATGTCCAGTGTCTGGAATAGAGTTAGTGCCCAATAAATTCTGATGGGTCACTTGTTCCACTCCCAAAGTCTATTGTGCTCTATAGGATACAAGAAGAGCTGAGGGAAGCCTG